AGTTATTGGTTGAAATGGGGTTTTACTAACTTTTTGCCCAGGCTGGCCTCAAACCATGATCCTCCCAATTTCTGCCTCCAGAGTAGCTGGGAATACAGGCATGTACCACTATGCTTGGCCAAAAAACTTCTCCCAATTTTTAAATACTAAAGTAAATAATCATCATATCTTAGGACAAAGTTGAAGAAGATCATGTACATATTAACACTTCAGTGTTAGGCTTGAATAAAAAATTTAACCTGAACTTTCAGTTATGATAGCAGATTAAAAACTATTCATTAACCTTAGTTCTACCAACTCTATAAAAAAGACAGTACAGGGTGTGTATGTGTGTGTGTGTGCATGTGTGTACACACTGTGTGTACATATATATATGTATGTGTATATATATGGATATATAAATATGCAAAGTATATATACTGAATATACATCTATGCATACAGATATACTGCATGTAACTTTTATACACACAGTTAATACAGTTAGGTATATATAATAGGTATTAACCCACAAAGAAAAGGAGATTAGGAGACGAAATAAGATCTAGAAGTGTCTGAAAGCTATCAACTTGCTGAATGAGTAGAAATGGATTCAACAGATCTAGACAAGTTAGATCCTAAACTGAAATTAAAAAACTTCTGTACAACAAAAGAAATGGTCACCAAATTGAAAATGTTGCCCACAGAATGGGAGAAAATCTTTGCCAGTCATATATCTGACAAGGGATTAATATCCAGAATATACAGGGAGCTCAAAAAACTAAATTCCCCCCAAATCAATGACCTAATGAAGAAATGGGCAAATGAACTGAACAGAACCTTTTCAAAGAAGAAGTGCAAATGCCAAAAACCACATGAAGAAAAGCTCAACATCCCTGGCCATAAAGGAAATGCAAATCAAAACCACATTAAGATTCCACCTCACTCCTATTAGAATGGCTATCATCAAGAACACAAACAACAAATGTTGGTGAGGATGTGGGGGAAAAGGAACCCTCATACAATGCTGATGGGAATGTAAATTAGTATAACCACTATGGAAAACAGTACAGAGGCTCCTAAAAAACTAAAAATAGAACTGCCATGTGATTTAGCAATTCCACTCCTAGGGATGTACCTGAAGGAATGTGCGTCAGCTTACAACAAAGTCACCTGCACATGCATGTTTACCACAGCGTTATTCACAATGGCTAAGCTATGGAAATAGTCAAGATGCCCCACTACTGATGAGTGGATTATGAAAATGTGTATTTATATACAATAGAAGTTTATTCAGCCATAAAGAAGAATGAAATTTTGTTATTTGCAGGTAAATCAATGGAACTGGAGAACATCAACTTAAGTGAAGTTAGCCAGGTTCAGAAAGTCAACGACTGCATATTTTCTCTCATATGTGGAATGTAGATCAAATACAAGCAATATTATGAAAAACAGGTCACATTAAGGGGAGATCACATACAAGAGAAGGAGGGTAAAAGAAGGAAGTTAAGAAGATGAATATGGTTGATGTAATCGCTGTACAAGAATTAATATAGGATTTTTAAACCTACTGAAATCACCGTAAGAAGGGGACTAAGGTAGAAGGAGAAAATTAGAGCAGATGAACCACTTTGGGTAATAATACATATATACATGGAAATGTCACAAGGAAACTCCTTGCACAGCTATCTTAAACAAACAAAAACATCTTTTTTTTTTTTTTTTTAACAAACTGGGAGAACAGGAGGGCAGAACAGGTCCTGTCTGGGGGGTTAGTACCAGAAGGAAGGGAAAGGATGTGGGAAAAGAGTATATGAGGGTGACTATGGCATAAATACTATGCACACATGTATGTAAATGGAAAATGATACCTACTGAAACTATTCCAGGAATGGGGAAAAGGGAGAATAAAGGAAAATGATGGAGGGGGTGAATTCAACTATGATATATTTGATACATTGTAAGAACTTTTGTAAATGACATAATGTACCCCCAGCACAAAAATTAAAAAAAAAAAAAAAGGATGCAAAATTTGAAGTTCCCATTGTGAAATCCTGAAAAGCTCAATTTGTTGTATGGGAACCTCTAGAGGTGACAGTATAAAGTTGGGGTTAAAAATCAAATATCAAACTGAAGGTGTTCAAGAAACAGCCAGGAGTCCCAGGACTCCTCTTCCCTACATAGTTGGGCAGTTGCCCTTGACCTTCCTGCCCTCTAGAAGCTAAAGCTTTATTCTTGAAGAAGGTGAATGTCTTCAAATATTCTGATATAGCTGAGAGCTAGTGTATTGCCTGCCCAAACTGACCTCCAAGCCTTCTTTCTCTCTTGCTCCAGAGTGCTGACAGCTGCTACGCCTTCTTGGCAAGAGATTGGAAGAACCTTCCTTGGGTATCTGACCAGCCCCAGATAAATGAACTAAAAATATAATGGGGATTCCCTACTGAAAAGGCCCATCCCTCCCTGGCTGAAGCATCTCCCTGGCTGAAGTGAGCCCCGCCCATTGCAGGAGCTCATAAGCAGTCAGCTTGGAGTCTCTACTGTTAAATATGATACATATCCAAAGCTCACCATAAATATGAAGAGAACCTATGATGTCCATTCCAAGGCACAGAAAGAAGAATAAAGCAATCTGGATACTATGCAAAAAGAAAAACAAAACTCCAACAGAGTGTTATTACTATTCCCAGAGAACTAAGAAATGAATAGAACTCTAAAAGAGGAATATTAAGAGAATTAAAACTTTCCTAAGTTAAAAAAAAACTAGCAAAAATTCTTTCAATTGAAAGACTGAATGGTAACTGTGAGGAAATTTCTCAAAAAGTAGAATAAAGACAAAGAGAAAACAAAAAGGAAAAAGTTTTTTTAAATCAAAGGACCAGGACAGGAAGTCCAAATATTAAGAATAAAGGGGAAAGAGGACCAAAGGGGATTCAAAGAAATAAGTCAGGAAAATCTCCCAGAATATAAAGACATTTGACTTACCACTAGGAACAAAAGGGCATCACATTCAGAGCAATATTGTGAACTTTCAGAAGCTAGGAAAAGGAGATTCTACAAGCAGAGAGAGACAGAAGCAGAGATACTGGAGGACAAGCCTTCTGAATACTCAGGGAAAATGATTTCCAACCCAGAATTCTATATCCAGCCAAGCTATCAATAAAGATTTCCTTCAGATATTCAAGGCCTTAAAGATTTTAACTTCTCTTGTACTCTTCTTGAAGCAAGTTACCAGAGGCTAGGCTCTACCAAGTGAGGGAGCAAACCAAGAAAGAGGAAGACATGAGATACAGAAGTTGCTGATCCAAAACAGAAAAGAAGCAAGGTAAATTCCAGGTTCAGGATGATGACAGGAGGTCCCAGTGTGAGGCTGCCCAGCAGGCATTCAGTGTGAACTTGTACAGGCTCACAACCTATGGTGAAGTTGTTCAGGAAGATGCACTTGATAACATGTCTATGTGTGAGAATATGTTGCCAGGTCATTTGCACATTCTGGATGGAGGGAACTTGGGGATAAATGAAAACAACATAGAAAATACGAAACAAAACAACAACAACAAAAAAAACAGTGAGGAAAGCATCATAGTCTGTCACCATCTTAGCACTGAATTATCCTATAATCTGGACAATGAATATTGATTTAAACCCAAAAAAGACACGAGAAAAGGCTAAGGGAAGCATATACTAGGGGCAACAAGAGAAAAAGAAAAATAATTCTTCTGTTCTTCTACTGTAGGAAAACCATCATGCCCCAAACCAAAGAATTAAACAGTAGCAATCAATAAAAGACCCAGTCCCCAAAAGGTGGTGGCTCAGTGGCTACTGGTTTCAGCACATGGAACTCCTTTACCCAGTCCACAGGGCAGGGAAACATAGTGGCACAGAAAACAACTCCAAGGCAATTGGACATTTATACCTAGTAAGTGAGGGAGGCCTGGTTCCAGGAGCCCAATAGCTAGATTGAGAATCACTAGAGGGCTGGGTATGAACATTTATATTTGTACCATTCTAACAGAAAAGAATCAGGAACAGCAGGAAGTAATCAGACACCCACAGAAGAGAACCTAAGAAGTGAAGCCGAGGAAAGACACCTAAGCAGGAGTTTCACTTCTGTCCTGGAGGCCAGGATACTCTGATACTCAAGGAAAAGTAACTCTCCTAAGAGCTCCTACCATGAGTTAAAGGAATGAGTCCACAGCAGTATGTGTCTCTGGTTCCTTCTTCATTACTCTCAACCTAGTCATTTATAATTTTCTAAATGCCAAGTTTAGCCTTCACCCTTTGACATCTATACCCTTTGACTTTGCTCATAGTCTTCTCCTTCTCACTGTATTCTCATCCTTGTGATACCATGACTCCATTTGTCCCTGGTTTTCCTCCTAGCTCCACAATGAGACAGATCTAGGGACCTTTTTGGCAGTTAGGGCTCAGGTAGCAGTCTTGGTTCTCAAGGATTCATGTCTGGTTAGTGGGTTTGTAGGCAGATGGGACAGAAATATTGTTTTGAAAATGTGAAGAGGTAATAAGAACAATCTGAACAATAGCAACAATAAAGCCAGCCATGGCTAAAAGGATACAGACAGTACTGGCTCAAGTACTTGCCTTGACTAGGGTTTCATGAGCAGAAGGAAGGTAGCTTCAACTTCCTTCTGGTTTTATTGGCCAAACTGAGAACAGATAACCCAAAGACTCAGATCCTGTTCATAGAGTATTTAGCATTATGTACGTACAACCCCACCAGGTATAAAAAGATTTCCCTTTAAAACTTAAAAAAAAAAGAATGATGAACAGAAACAAGACAAGATCTGCACACAGAATACATGATACCCTCATGTATAACAATATGCAACCAGCAGTTAGAGTGAAAATCAGTGCAGCCGCTTCTCTATCTAAGGACCAATATCAAATATTCAATATCTCCTTCTGATTTTCAGGCCAGATGACAAATCCATACAAAAATCTTTACAAAAGTACAACACTTACTGACAAAAATGTATGTAAGTCTCAGTCTATAATTGTGTATAATTATTTTAAGTATATAAATATATTTGACATCTAGTTATGTTAATAAAATTATGCTGATTGTTTTAGAAACCTAATCTTGAATTTAAAAGCTAGTTGAAATTTATAACTTTTTGGAAAACACATTACAGTACTTTTATACACCTAACAGCAGAATATCTCACAACACGTGTTCAAAACAGAAACAAATACCAATAACTTGTACTAAAACTAGAATTAAAATGTAACCTTTTCTATCCATTCTCTAAGAGCTGCATGCAAGGCTGACAGACAGAGGGGGATGAGTCAGTGAGCAGGGCCTACAGCAATGATGCTTGTTTTGCAAAGCCCAAATCATTTCTAGAACATGCCACTTTCATAGTACACTGATATAGAAAGTCTTAGTAAAACCAAATTATTTCTAGTAGTCCTTTAGCCAAAGTAGCTAACTCACATGAGGTGATGCTGACCCACATAGACATAGATGTGCTAAAAGTAAAATGCTATCTGAAAATGAGAGTACCTAGGAGCATCTCTATTCTCTTCCTCAGCTGCCTCTGTGAAACTTGCTCCAAAGCCTGGTCTATCTCTAACTTTCTTCTGACTGAGGTCATGCCTCTCCATCTCCTATTTACCACTAAATTCGTCTTCTGTAACTCAAGTGGCTCTTGAAATCCCCTTCTTCCAAGAAGTCCCCATGACTTGTTGGAAGAGTCGTCCTTGAACTCCCTCATTTGGTTTGGGGTTTTTATGTCACTACCCTCCATTCTCTGAGCCATAACAGCACTCACGTATTCCTACATTGCTAGAGTTCATTAGCCTCTGGCAATGACATGCTTTCCCTCAGTTGTGTCCCCAGCAGAAGGATGGCTGGGAGGAAAAAATGGGCAGTGATGAGGAGCCAGGAAAGCTCAGGAAAGCACAAATGTGGGTCCTGTCACTTACCAGTCTTGCAGCTTTAGAGAAGTCACCCACTTCTTTCTAGGCCCAGATTGCCTCCTCTGCTAATGGACACAGGAGGAGGCCAAGCCTATGAAGATGTGAGGCTCAAATGAGGTAATTTAGTGCACATGGCAAGCCCCCAACAAACAGAATTAGCAGACACCTGTTAAATGCTTTCAAACAATGACATAGATTTATTTTGAGTGTTAAACTAGACTTATAAACAGTTATGGAGTTAGTGAAAATGTTGAAGTAAAGACACTCAGAGAAAAAACAACAACGAAATTATATCTTAGAGCAAAGACAGATTCTTTATTGGCTGAATGCGTTACTCCAGATATTTAAAACACCACAAACATCCAGGACTGTAGTTTTGTAATTTCATTTGGAGTCATGTTAGATACATTGGTTAACTTGCTTAGGGGAAACAATATTATGCATGCTCCTTAGTAGCTTTATCAAGCACATCTGTAAAAGATTAAACTTTCACTTCTAGTTATTATGATTTCCCCCTAGACACCAAATGAATAAACACAACATTTACCTCAAATAATAGATACTGTATATGGCTATACTGTGCTCTAAAATTACTTGTGTTAATAAAGACATTAATTTCAACATTTGAAAAGGAAGATTCTGTATTACCACTAGAAAGTTCTGAAGACCCTGTCAAGTAAAGCACAACTGGAGATTTACTCAGTTTCTGGAAGCAAAGGGTAGGATTGAGGTAGGTGGGGAAGCTATCTTGAGAGGTCACAGTGACCTGAGCCTTTTCTGCAAGCCAGTCAGCAGTGCATCACTGCCTAGTGACCCTGGGGCATCTCGAATCTTTAAAACACAGATGTGCCACAGCAACACTCTTCCACTATGGAGCAAGATACTTCAAAGGGCAAAAAGTGGGCAGAGAAAGTGAGCTGCTAGAGGGGAGGGAATGACTGGCACAGACAGAAATGCTGGCTGACCCTGTGGGCCTAGCTTGTGGTGTAAAGACCACCTGTGAGAGTGACTTGGCCTCTGGCATCCACAGTCTACTACAGGTAACAGCACCTTGGGAAGCACAACAAACAGATGCAAAGTGCATGAAGAATGAATGAGGGCTGAAGGTGTACCTTAGTGGTGCTTACCTGGCACGCACCAGACCCCAGGTTTGACATCCAGCACCACAAAAAAAGAAAAAAAAAAACGAACGAGAACAAAAGGTGTTCAATGTTTAGCACTGGGAAAAATAAAATCAGACAGGAAAATCCAGAGATAATTTATGAACATCTGTATCACAAATAATCTGTCCCAGTAATAATATATTTTGAAAAATTAAACAAGGTAATTTTTTCTAAAAATCCACTTGAGTTAGGATATTTAGGGGCACTTTATGAAATAAATTTTGCAAGTACAACTGTATAATTTAGGATAAAGCTTCAAAGATATCTAAGTACAATTTTCCAAATCTCTTATTAATGTCTTTGGTGTTGGAAACTGCCACATTAAATTCTAGTAAATTAGACACTGAGAAGTCCTTTCATTCACACCATGTGCTACCTTAATTCTCCATGAAAAGCCCCTCCAGCAGCTCCCACCAAAACATTCAGCTAAAGAAAAAAATTACATGTATGTCTATATACATATAAAGGTATGCTAAATAGCCCTAAAGGAATCAATCTAACAAAAACATACAAAAAACACTGTTTGGACATTTTAAATAGAATTATTGGTTAAAATTAAACATACACCATCATCTGTTTAAGTTACCAACTTGGGGGAAAAAAGAGACTAAGAAATCAGAACCCTAGTACTTTATACACCAAATACCTTTAGGAACTTAGGAAAGTGAACAGTTGTATACAGGGTATACAGGTTATCTTTTTGGACTACCCTTTTCTTGCAGGCATTTATGTTTTCAACATGATTGAAGAAGCAGCTTGAAAGCAGGTAAGCTGCAAGTGCATACTACTCTTGAACTTGTTCAGCAGCTCTTCCAGTAACCTGCAGGGAGGAGACACTACTTTACAGCCGGATAGAGAGAGTGGCCAGGCAACCTTAAACAAACAGGCAGGGAGCTGGATGGCCAGCTCTGACTTCTGTTTGCTGATTTTAGCAGGAAGCTGAAAAAAGTCATTGCGTGTGGATTTTTAGCTTGATGAAAAAATTATGCCAAGCAAGGATGCTAGTCAAAAGGAATATATTAATATACAGATCTAGGTTTACATTCTAAAATTTCTTCTTGCCCTCTTCCTTCAGATTAGATTCTTCCCTAAAACAAGTAATATTAAGGTCTATTTTTAAGTTCACCCTAAAAAACCGACAAATACTAGCATTCACTCTTTTTCTGTTACACATTTCTATGAATGTGTGACACCCCACAATGAGGGGACATTTCTACCACCCTAAATGTTCTTATGCCACCCTTTGAGTTGGCCTCCTCCCCCACCCAGTGCTCTGTGCTTATTTTAGTTATTTTCTCTCTCTCTCTAAATTTTCCTTTTGCCTTTAACAGATACTGGAATGTGGTGAGCAAAAATTGTTAAGCAGGGGAGGAAACAAGGTTAGTTCTACTTCTGCTGGGAAAATTATTCTGCTATTTCATACTCAGTTTGTTTCCAAACTGGTTAGATATATCCACATACTTTTAAATCTAGAGGTGATGTTGGAGCTCATCTGGTCCAGATGAAATAACCAAAAACTGGGTTTAAAAGTATTGAGATCAAGAGATTATTTCATGATTGAACAATGCTTGGCATTAGAACATTATCCCCAGAGTATACCTAAAACAGAGTTCTGACCTGGGACTATGTCAGGATGTCTGTTGTTCTTAAAACTCAACATTTTCAGTAATGTTCCACATATTAAAAATAATAGTGATTACATTAATCTTTTGTCACATTTATTTTAAAGAAATGACCAAGGCTTGGAATTAATTCAGGTAAAGGTTGGAAGTTAGGGAGAAAAAAATGGAAAATGGAAGCAAGTGTTCCAGTTTGTTTAGCTATCTGCCTGTCCATGTGGGAACACACACAGGGGACTGTGTAGGGACTGCACAAGCAGGAAAACTCATTTGCTCCCCCTTCTCCAAAGCCCAGTCCACTCTCAATGCCATTTGACATTTTCTCCCATAGGCCAGCACAGGAGACTTCTCTATGCTTCTGAGTTACTACATTTCCCTGTGTTCAGTGATAGAGCCCAGCACCATACGTTTCACACAGCACCCTAAATACTTGTCTGTGGATGGATCAACCACATGCAAAGGTGGATGAACTTCAGTTACAGCTGGTGAAGAAGCAAAAAGCTACCTCAGTTGAGGCCAGGCTGGGCATTTATATGAATAGTAAAGTATAAATGCAGGTTGAGGTCATTAATGAGGTAGTAATGAAATGTATACAATTTTATTTACTTTGCTTTTTTTTTTGGTGGTACTGGGGTTTGAACTCCTAGCAAGGCCTCATACTTGCTAGGCATGCTCTCCACCACTTCATGCCTCCAACCCTTTTTGCTCTGGTTATTTTGGAGGCAGGGTCTCAAATTAGCCCAGTTTGACCAGCTGTTTGCCATCACACCTGGCTTTGACAACCTTCTTGATACTTAATAGTTTATAGAGAACAAAGGGTATATCATTAGCCAAAGAGAAAAAAAAATGTCACCCAGTCCTACCCTCTTTTTTTATGCTATCTTCTTAAATATAGAGGCCAATGATAAGGTTTACTTTAAATAAGCTTTCTTATCACATTTTCTGTACCAGTTACTTAACACTAGAAAAGAGCTAATTTCTACAGCATACCCAGAAGAAAGATTTACTTTATTCTCTCACTTAGAAAACAAGCCAGGTACAGGCAACAGGGCACACTGATTTGGGACTAGGTGCTGCTGTTCTTAAATCCAAGTCACTATTGTTATCTTTTAAAGGGCTTCTAGGTAATGAGCCTTGTTCAACATACCTGTCTCCTGAGGCTAGTATTCAGAACTTACTTTTTATCTGCTCCACTTGCGAGCTGAGGCAGGGCTTCCAAGGCCTGTTTAAAACTAGACCTGGAATGAAAAACAGCACATTTCAGCCTAAACAGTCCACAGTTCTAAGGAGAATTAGTTAAGAGGATCAGGTTCTTAAAGTATATTTTAAATATAAAGAAACCAATATAAACCAATGAAGCAAGTTGAAATACAGAAAAAGTAAAAGTGAAAAACAGCAGAAAAAGTAAAAGTAAAACCGAGGCTATGATTAGCAGACAGACTTTGCAGGGCAGGGCTAGAAAGACTCAGCCAGGAAGTGAAATGTGACTTAACAAAGGGCTGCTGCTCCTGGGAGAGGAGAGCTTGGTGTGGAGGTGTTTAATTAAAAAAACAAAAAACAAAAAAACCCCTACAGATAAAGTGATTGATAAGAGAGGAGGGAAACTAAGAATGGGCATGTGTTACATATAAGGACATTCATAGTATTATTATAGTATTGTAATATAATGTAGTAGTAGTTCAGTAGAGTAATAATATAGTTATTGTGATAACAGCAAGGTGTAGTATTATATAGTATTACCAAAAGGGACATTTATAGTATTGACATGGATAGGGCCTGACTTACAGCCATCTCTTTTAACATTTGAATATGGTCTTTACAGGACTTATTTGCTATTATATTTAAACTGTAGAAAATGAAGAAATGTATCTATACTTAAAAAATTAAACACCACTTCTTTGGAAAAAGCAAAGGAATGAATTCAAAGACCACCTTTTCCTATGTTTAACTTTAGTAAGTAAAAAGATCAGAAAAATTACTTAAACAAATGAAAAGGGGAGATTACATACTTAAACAAATGAAAAGGGGAGATTACTAAAGAACACTTCTGAAGTTTTTATCTCTTCTTTTGTAACTAGTTGAGGAGAAGAAATAAATATAATTATTATTGATTTAAAGAGGTTTTTGTTTTTATATTGGAAAAACATCTCATCAATTCTACCAGCAAGTATAATTTTGAGCAATGTTTCTCAAGCAAGGGGTAGGTGTCACAGCAACATGTAAATAGAATGAAAAGTTTCAACAGTCATGAAAATGGACAATGAGAATCAATGATTGTCCCAGAGAGAGACAGGGGTGGTTTGGGAATGGGCTCTTGCTGGCACACCCGGCTGCCTTCTCAATATTCAACCAGCCCTCATTTTTTCTGACATTGAGGGATATCACTGTCACTATATCCACCATTGTCTTTTTTCTCACAAAGTTCTTCTGGATTAAGTAAAAGAAATATGGTGTGACATTGTTCTTTATTGTTATTTTAACAAGAATGTTGATGAAGATCTTACTACTGGGCACTGATAAAATGTATTAGTTTTGTTATTTAATTTCCTCAAAACTTTGCCCAAGAGGTATTACAGTTGAGCATCCCTAATCTGAAAATCTGAAATTCAATATGCTCCAAAATCTGAAACTTAATCAGTACCACCATGATGCTGTAAGTGAAAAATTTCACACCAAGCACAAAATCATTAAACCATTCTATAAAATTACCTTTGGCTTATGTATATAAGATGTACAGGAAACAAATGAATTTCATGTTTAGACTTAGGTTCCATCTCCAAGATATCCCATTATGTATTATAAATATTTCAAATTTAAAAAGAAAGGTGAAATCCAGCATGGTCCTGAGCATTTTGGATAAGGGATATTCAACCTGTATTATCTTCCTTTTGTAGATGAGGGATTGGGGTTCCAAAAGTCTTAGTTCCTGGGGAGGGATAGGCATGCATACCAAGCAGGTGTGGCCTGAGTGTTTTCTATTTTCTATATGCACTTTGTGTAGAAAAATGATGGTCCCAAAAAGGTGTGGTTAAATGACAAACACAGGAGCTATCTAGAAATGGCTTCTGGTAAGTCATGACAGACCAAAATGAGAAGCCAACTTCATTTGTCAAGAAACAAATGTTTCTCGTTGTAGTGATGACAGTAAGGATGATGGCATAAGCCACACTATCAAGTGCTGAGATGAATGAGTAAGTAGACTGCGCAGCATCCTTGTGTGCTTGATTTGCAAATCACTTGTTTCTCAGACACATTGACAATATAATCCAGTATTTTCTAGGTGATCTTGCAAATGTGGTAAACAATTTTGTATAGGTGAATAGTAATTCTGTTTTACTTCACCTACTGATATTTCAGTGGTAGGAAATCCTGACTTTCATTCAAAACAGCTAAAAACTGTCATCAAATTTCCACTACAGAGAAACCACAAGGCTTCCTTTCATGCTGGTATTTACAACACTTGAACTGTCCTTCAAGTCTGCTAGGAATAGACTAACACAATTCTTTTTCTCTTCTGTCCTAAGAAGTAAATAATGCTCTGCCATATTATTTATGAGGTTAAGGCCAATTAGTAATGAATAAAAACCCATAATATTATATTAAACCTCTTTCCTTTATATTGTGCTACAAAGAAGTGGCCTTTGAAGTCCTTGGCTTGTGCTTTTTAGCTAAAAATCTGATCAAATATAAAGTTCATCACAACATAAATTTACAAGCATTTGCTGTGATTACTTACCTTTCAAAGGACAGAACACAACAGTAAAACACCCTTTTTGTTTAATAAAGCACTCAACAAGAATATGCAGCATCTTACTTGCTTTCAGGTGTCAGGTAAATGGCCACGGTATCCCTCAAAGCACAGATTCAAGTCTCGCCTAAAGATGAGAAAAAGACAGAGTAACAATGGGAAAATGTGTCAGTTATCAAATACATGCAAATACTGAGTCGAACAGTGTCTAGCTTGCTGACCACAGCAGAGTGTGGGCCCACTACCACTATGGTGATGATTAGTTGGGAACAGACTTTCAAAAAAGTGTCCAAAGATATAAGCTATGACAAATCTCCTTTTACCGAAAATTAACTTGTAGTCAAGTATGACTGTGTACAGGGAGCTAGAGATATCACTATGAGAAGTACAAACTGCAATGATTTTCCAGCAATCTGTATTTACTATCTAGCTAGTAATTTGCCTTTTAAATCTGGTTGTGAGAGGAAAGAAACTCTTGAAACATAGGCCCTGAGAGGTCCCATCTTAGAGTGAGGAGGTGGCTGGGCTTGTTCTCTTAAACCTATGCCCTTCCAGGTACACTGCCTTCCTCTCAAATCTAAACTAAGCTCTACAGATTCAATGGAGTCCCTATTAAAATCATAGCTGCACCTTAAAAAGAAAACAGAAATTGACAAGTTGGTCCTAAAATTCACATGGAAATATAATAGACCCAGAAGAACCAAACCAATCTTGAAAAAGAATAGCACATGTTGAGGACTCACATTTCCTGATTTTAAAACTTAAGACCAAGTTACATTAATCAAGTCAGTGTGACATCAGCACATGGGCAGACATAATATACTATGTCTACATGGTACAGTCCTTACATTTATGATCAGTTGAATTTCAACAAGGGTGCCAAGGCCATTCAATAAAGAAAAAAGAATCTCTTCAACAATCACTGCTGGAACAACTGGATATTCACACATGAAAGAATGAACCTGGAATCTTTTCTAAACACAAAACTTAAATCAAAAGAAACAGATTACAGACAGACCTAATTTAGAAGAAAATAGCAGCAAATCTTTGTGATCTTGGGAAGCCTTCTTAGAAATAATGCCAAAAGTATAAGCAAGAAAAGGAATAAACTGGACTTCATCAAAATTAAAAACTACTGTGCTATATGGGTACTATCAAGAAAGTAAGAAAACAACTTGAAGAATGAGATACCACTTCACAATCAAAATGGCTGTAATCGACAAGAAAGAACACAATAAGTACAGGTGAGCATGGACAGAAACAAATCTCATAAACTGCCAGTGGGGATGTAAAATGGTGCAGCTACTTTGGAAGACAGTCTAGCATTTCCTCAGACCAGACACAGAGTAACCAAACAACCTACCATTCCATTCTAAGGTGTATACTGAAGGGAAATAAATATATGTCCACACAAAAACATGCTCACAAATGTTCATGGAAGCATTCTTTACATTAGCTAAAGTGGAAAAAACCAAAACCCATCATCGGATAAACAGACAAATAAAACACGGTATATTTCTATACAACAGAACATTACTCATTTATAAAAAGGAATGAAGTACAGGAGACCCCTGTCTGCAGGTACATGGTTCCAAGGAGAACACTGCTGAGGAAAAACAGAGAATGCTCAGGATGCATGGAGTTCAGTGCTGTGTTGTGAATGCTTGAGTCATTTTTCCCGTAACACCACCCAACTTCTGCTATTTTCAACAAATCTCAAAGTTTCACTTTATCACTTAAATTAAGCATACCTTTTTTTGATTACCATCTTTCCTTGCCTTTTGAACACCATTTGCTTTTTGACCATATTTTATATGATTCTAGTTATATGAAAATTTCAGAATATATAAACCACATAGATACAAAATCAAGTGGTGGTTGTCTGAAGTAAGGTAGTGGGGTTGGGAAGAAATGGTTATAGTCAATGTTAATAGATCTGGGGTTCTTTGTGGTTTGATAAAATGTTATAAAGATTGATTATGGTAATGGCTAGGTAATTTTGTAGATACACTAAAAATCACTGCATTGTGTACTCTTTATATTGGAGGCAATTGCATAGTACATGTCATATATCTGCATTAAAAACAAAAAGCTAATCTAAAGCTTTCGTTTCACTGCAAGTAGAAGAAATGTGACCTGATATACAAATATGGCTCCAGAAGAGCCACTGATAGGGGATCTGCATCCACAAAAATAAACTGTATTCTTTGACTTAGGTGCCCAAGGTAAACATGATGTGCTGGACAGCATTTAAAAGAAACAGTCCCAATTCTCAGGAGCTTATACAACATAAAACCTACATGAAAAGGCACAGCTAGCTCTTTACATCACAGGTAAGTAGAAATTCTGTAAGCAACCTAGACAAGTTGATTTATATCAAATATTATTATTTATTCAGGGACCTGTTCCATTTGGAAAGCAATTGTTCGACTTTAGAGATGTTGATTTTTGTTTTGTTTGTTTTAGCATGCTGTTAATTTATTTGAATTCAAACCAAACACTACTGGCTCTTGTGTTCCATATTTGCTTCCCTTCTCCTAGCCTTGGCTGGGCTGGTTAGAGTGGCGTCTGACCACAGCTTAGACAGTGGGCTTGTACACTTGCTCCCTGTTTTCTGACACACTCTCCTCATTTTCCTGGACTTGGCTGCCCTAAAGCCAACAGCAGAAGGTTCTACATTGAAGTTTTAGTTACCCCTGGTCCTGCCTTCAGGCTACTTCATGTGCCATTTCCTATAGAACCTGCTCACTCCTTGCCAGTTGTTCTCTGGTGTCATCAAGTAGGATTTTTTTTTCCTCTAATTTTTAAAAACTAATATTCAAAGTGCAAGTGTTATCTGTGGAGGCTGGCTTGATGGGAGCTTCTTCAGTTATCAGAGGAAGCAGATTTAACATTTCTTTCTTTACTTTTTCCCTTCCCTTCCTTTTTCCTCCTTTCCCTCCCCTCCTTTCTCCTTTCTTTACTTTATGGTGCTGGGGATCGAAGCCAGGGCTCCATGGATGCTAAGCACACTCACTACCCTGAGCTACACCCCTAATATTCCCAGCATACAGAAAGCTCACAAGGCAGAAGTCACTCTCCCATATGCCTGCACACCTAGGCTCCTATCAGTTGCCCTACATGCCATACTAAGAATCAGCCAGTTTGAAGTAATTCTAGCTATTGTAATTATGTCATTTAAATAACTAGAATACAAACCAGTGGAACACCAGTATAATGAGACAACTATTTGTGCTTAATATGCACACAACACTAAATGTTTTGGCAAAACTTAGCCTCTACTTTTAAGGCTGGAACAGAAACTCTGGAACTTAGAGACAATGTATGATGGGTATGGTTTGTGCAAGAAAGAGGATATATGTCTGCACTAAAAAACAACCTGTGTGCATATCATAAGGCAGATGACTAAAATAAATTTACATATTTTAAATAAAAATAAAAATGCAACCTGAAACTGAATGATTTTGGCACCTGTAAAGCTCCATTTTTGCTGAAGGATGAGACACACTGCATCAGTCGGCTTAGTTCTTCAGAGACTGCTTCTACCACCTTAGATAGGACACGTGACACCAATTCTTTGGAAATAGTGAATACCTGATAGAAGGTTTAAAACAAAAAGAAATGGTGCATTAATGGCCTTTTCCTTGCAACTTTTCCTTGAAAATTTTCCTTGAACTTGTTAAAAACAAAATGTGACAAAATAACAACAAAAAATAGATTGTCTAAGTCATATTTTTAAAAGACCAAAGTTGTATGAAACGAAGATATAGACATACTCAATTGTATTAACTTACGACTATAATTTTCTTCAAAAATGCATTATTGGAAATATAATTTTGAAAGGTATTGCTGATGTTGACAAATATTTTTTTCTTATTGTCCCTCTCATAAGAACGAAAGAAGAGATTAGAAAAATACACTTTGGATGTATATTTGGCCACAGTAATAATAATAATAATAATAATAATAATAATGAAACCAGCAAGCTGGGTGCAGGATGATGGTGTGCACTTGTTGTCTCAGCTACTTAAGGAGACTGAGGCCAGGAGGATCACTTGAGTCTAGGAGTTCAAGGCCAGCCTGGGCAACAGAGCAAGACCCTGGCTCTTAAAAATAAAAACCAAACAAACTAAACCTGGACTGATTCTCCTTAGAACATGACAAACACCCACTCAGACTGGATTCATTATTCTGTACTGGACAAGCTTTCTAGTTTTATTTATGTCATACCAAATATATTATTTTCTTTCATTTATTTGACACACAATATTCTTTTCTTTTTTGGTGGTACTGGGGTCTTGAACGCAGAGCCTCCTGTTTCCAAGGCAGGCATTCTACCACTGAGCCCTGACATATAACATTATTTTCAAACTTTAAAGTTTGACATTTTTAAACTGAGAGATACTATATTTGGAGGTTTATAAAAACATTTTACTCTCCTGATTAATAAGGTAAAGTAAATCATATTTTCTTTATAGCATTAGCTTTTTCCCAGATTGAGCCACTAAGATTAATTAAACTAACTTTGCATCAACTCAAACATAACATGAATGCCCAAGAAAAATTTTGGCAATTTAAGGTCATATGAATGAAATGGTACTTGGCATCGCTGGGCTAAACTAAGAGTGCACTAAGAATCCACTCATACAGTCCACTCTTTGAATAAATAAATAATCCCACTGTTAGTGACACTGGCTATCAGTGAATCTGCCTGGTTAGGTATCCTCACAGTCACTCACACATCCCAGGGTTTTCACAGCTCCTCTGCCCACCTGCACAGAAATGTCCCCACACGTGACAATTTCAGTTACACTTGAATTTGTAAAGGAAGCAAACATAACGAGATTGAGCATTTTTTTATATTTCTGATGAAACCACAATTATTATTGCTAATTTTAAAAATATCTATGTGACAAATTCCTGCCTGAGTTAAATGACATAAAAATTTTCTTTTTATAGGGAAATTCATGTTTCCCTTTTACTAATAAATAAGCACTGTAGCATACTATATTATTCTTTCTGCCTTAGTCTCTCATCACTCTGCTCTTCTGTGTTGGCCTTACTTATCCATGTTTTTTCAGTTTATCATGATGGCCTCAAGTACTTCTGGATGGAGGAGGCAGGGCAAGCCTAGAAGCGCCTATGTGACACATGCAGCTGGGGCGGCACTCAAGCAACAAAGGTAATCATCAACTGGCAGCAACTTTCCTCTGCCCCATTTTATGTTTCTTATCAGTCTGTGGGCCACAGCCACCCTGAAAGTGTTGGCAAGGCAATGAGCAATGAACTAAGAAACTACTGGGTGAAAATAGGTCATCATCTAGTGAGAATGAAGGCAACTTAATGTTCCTCAGAAGAGTCCTCTTCCCAGAATGTCCAATAAGGATGTGAGCATGAAGCTTCAAGTGCTAACACTTCAAGGGAGGGCAAGTTTCTGCATGAACGTGAAGCAGCAACACCTCCAAGTTCCTACTATTGAAGAGAAATTATGCATCTGCTTTGTTCTGACTTCAGTCTGCCCTGGCAGCCTATCTTTCTAACAAGCTTCTACCTTTCTGGAATCCCCCAGTATGTGAGAACACATAACTACATGAATTAGACATCAATGCTTATTTGTATTCTGGCTAAAAAGGAGATAAAGAATTTTCCAAGATAAAGAATTTAACATTTTTTAAAGGAAAAACATACTTTCATTCTATCTTCTCTTTATCTTTCAAATATTACTCGATTTAATTTTAATTACAATAGAAAACATGCAAAATTCTAAGAGGGGAAAGATTACCATAAAAATAATCAAATTAGCTCCGCCCCACTCCTGCTTCCTCCCCACCCCTCTCAGTTATTCACATTTCTTGGGAACATATAATGATAGCTTACCTCTGCATGCACAGCAATTATATTCACCAGCGCTTCTTTTAAATAGTTTCTAACACCTGAAATCAAGATGGGGCGAGAGAGGCGTTTAGTGTTAGCATAACCACCTACCTCTACCACCATGCTGCACAGTGTCCTGACAGTTCTCTTAGCACTACACCACTGTCTGTTTCCCTTTGAGAACCAAATGCTAAAAAGACTTGTTTTCATACAGCTTTTTTTTAAAAAAAGGTTAGATTAATAATTTTCTTTCACTGTTTTTCGTTTCTAACCTTGTATGTTCTCTATTAACTCTTAGTCAGTTCGCCTCAAAATTAAAATACATGGTATTTCTTTTAATAAACATGACAACTACAGACAAAATACAGAGGACAGGAGGAGGATGTTTAACAAAGCTTATAAAATACAAGTTAAATATCATAGCATCTTACTTCCAAAGGTGAAAGAAAATTATCATGATTATTTGGTGGTAAGAATCACATTGAGGAAAAACTTTTCACAAACTACACTGAATTAGATTCTACATAGCAAGTTAAACACTGGACAATATAAAAGGTTTCAGATTGTAGGTCCAAGACTAATGGACACTCCATCATTCAACATAAACACCACATATTCATCGATATAGGATCTGAGGCCACACTTTTGAATCAAAGCCCTGTTTCAACACCTACTAGCTGTGACTTTTAGAGAAGACTGTGACCTTGGTCTCCTCATCTGACAAATGAGTATAAAGATTGTACCTCTCTTGGGCTGTGAGGACAGCAAACGGAAATAATGCTTTTCACAGTGCTCTTTAAAAACTTTCACCATCGTGTTGTAAGAAAAAAATATAAAAACAAAATGTTATTTTATTGCAACTCCAAAACAATTGCTTTCATTTAGAACAGATGTCTTCTAATGTCTTTTAGAATTAACTGTACACAGAGAACATTTACACTATACAATAGTGAAGGTGATGCACTGTAAAATCATGGATGTCAACAGTAAAGACACTGAGGGTAGTCTTCTCAGAATGCCATCCATGCTTCTGATTACTCAGGAATGCTAAGAAGAATCACCAACTATGACCAGTTTTTTGAATTGACACTTACAAACTGTAAATGTATAGTTGGCTTTGGAGTCTATTACCTATGACAGTATATAATAAATACACTGTGTTTATTTAGAGGAACCAATTTCATATATTCCTTTGCGGTTTGGAGGTTCAGGTATTGTTAATTTTATTTTGTTCATAGGTTAGCAGAAAAAGCTAAGTGAAGAGTAATTAAATATAATACAGAAATTAACTGAATCTTCCTAAGAAAAGGAAAATCTCAAGGGAGTTTTATGTCAGCAGCAGGCCAGAAAAACATACAAAACTTATTACAAATGAAAGTGAAATAAACTAACATGGAAAACAGAGAAACTTTCTTCCTGTCAGAGGAAAGCCACACCACAGAGAGGTCCCCTGGACAGTCCCCTGCTGCAGTGCAGAGTATGTGGATACGCACTCTGGCTCCAGTGTCTGATCACTGCCTTAGGTCTACAGTCTTTGAACAGCTCATACATGTTCATATATCTACATGCCTAACATAGTCACTAAAAGCATAAGCTTGATATTATACCAATGAGGCTCTAAAATTCAATAGCCTCTGTCCTCAGTGAAAATCAGTGTCCTACCAAAGTTACTAGGACAAATGACAGAAGTTTGGGATCTCACAGTGTTCTAGCAATGGTGACTAGAAATGGGAAGGTAGTTTTTAATTTTTAAAATGCTTTTTTTTGGCAGTACTGGGGTTGGAACTCAGGGCCTACTTGAGCCATAGCTTCAGTCCTTACTTTTTAAAACTTTTCAATATAAAAGAAGAAAGAAATCAGGGAACTGACTAAAAAAGTCAAAAATTAGACTTGGAATCAAGTAAGATAGTGTCACATGGTCAATGTCAGTCTGCTGGGAAGTCAACTCCCACTCTGTCCCTGAAAGGAAAAACATTTCCTAGTAAGAGTCATTAGACTAGGCATTACTTATAAAACACACTTTAAAAGAGATTCATCTTAATTAGTCAACACAATTCTAAAGATGTGGCTATGAATAGTAAGAATAAAAGCAAAGACTACTTTAAACCAAAAGAACTATTTCTGAGAGAAAATTTTAAAAATTTAAGCTTCCTATTTTAGTTAGGTTGGCCAGAGGTTTCAAATGTATAATATATACTGGAAGAAGCTCATAGCTGTAACCTTGGATGAGGAAGAGAATTTTATTTTTCTTGGCGATTTCATCTTTTTGAGTAGAAAACAAAATAGCTGCTTTCTTTTTCACAAAACAGCAAATAATTGCTTCAAGTGGTAATGGTGGAGAAAGAGAAAGGACAACTTTGTGGTGTCAAGAATGGACAGAAATATTCAAGCCATGTGTCAGATTAGCGAGTGTCAGAGTCAGCGTGAAGAGGACTTCTGAAAAGTGCACTCTATCTACCTTGAGGTGGAGCTTAGTAATATACTGTTTTAACCTCCCAAAGCAACGAGTTATAACTTCACAATTTAAAAGCTAAGAAGGCGTAGTGATGTACACCTGTAACCCCAACATTCAGGAGGCTGAGACAGGAGGATCACAAGTTCCATGTCAGTATGGCCTATATGGTAAGAACCCCCTCTCAAAGAAAAAGAACAATGGTTAAAATATAAAACTAAAAAAATTCCTGGTTGTCTTTCTCCAAAAAGTTACCCACTGTGTTAAACACAGAAATAAGTAATTTTTACTACCTACTGGACTGACATTGTTTTCATTCTAAGGAAGTAGCTAAAAGCTCTCACTCACTTATTTCATGTAAATTTACTAGATTCCACTACATGGTGGACATCATTAGATACCCATGACAGGCATGAGGTCCTTCAAGTAGAACACATCTATGCCCAGTACATAAAAGACCAAAAGGGGACTTAGTTACTGGTGTTCATATGTATGTAAACATTTTTCATATGTAGCAAACATACAAGATGAATATGTGAGAGGGTTTTATATAATGAAAAGGCTGTACTCTAATTTAAATTAACCTGTAAAATGTTTAGTTGCTCTCTTTATTTTGTGAAGTTCTTAATTGGTTAAAGAATCGCCTTGGGGTAGGGAGAGGAGAGAGTTGGAGCAAAGGGCTAGAGACCAGGTTGGGTCTGCATTTGGGAAGCTGGTAAGATCTTTGCAGTCCTCCCAGGTAAGAATTTTGATTCCTGTCTCTTTGCTCCATCAATAGCCTTGCAACAGTCTAACCAACAGCATCTTATACTCTACTCCTGCCCACCTGCACAGACTGTGTTCAGGTTCATAGTGAGGCTTTCAGATGCAATCTTAAAACACTAAAAAAAAAAGAGAGAGAAAAAAAACCCTCTTGATAAACTTTATGGTTTTCACTGCCTGTTTTCTCTTTTTAAATGCTCAAAATCTGACAGTGAGATGGTTTTGGCTCTTTTAAAACCAACACTAAAGAAGCTTGTGGTGGTGGCGGCCACCCAACTGGCTTGCTCTGCCCAGTGCTTCACAGGGCAGAAAATGCAGCCGGCAAAAGGGTGGCAATATGCTTTTCTGACTGAGCAAAGAAAAAGTACAGTTGGGCCTTTGTATTCATAGGTTCCTTATCCACATATTCACCAGAAGCAAATGGAAAACACTTGAGAAAAAAACCTGAATATGTGCATTTTTCTCACCATTATCCCCTAAACAATACAGTGTAATAACTACCTGTGTAGCATTTATGCTGTATTAGGTATTATAAGAAATTTAGAGATAATATAAAGTCTATGGGAGGATGTGGCTGTGAAACACGCCATCATTTTACATAAGGAACTTGAAATCATGGACTTTGGCATCTCTGTTGGAATCCACAGCAAAAGAATGGGGATCTAAGCATCGAGAGTAAGCTGAGACTAATGTGGGGCTTGAGAACGTGAGGCTGGGTCTCACCTGGGGCCTCAGGGATGCTGACTGACCTCACAATCTCTCCCTTCAATGGGAGGATGGAATGAAGAGAGAGGAAGGCTGAGGAAGCTGTCAATATAGAAAGACCCTGGAGCAGCCAGAAGACTATACATGCATCTGTTAGAACACATGGCTGTAGCCTCCTGGTGGGAAGCAGAGTGAAGTGTAGGTGAATTTCAAAGGACCTTGGCTGTGGTACCTGGGGCAGGACCAGAATTTCACTTTTGGTCATGACACTATTTTAAAGGGTCTAAAACTATGACAGAAGAAGCACACGGTAATTACATTAGGGTGGTGTATGTTTTTATTTTCCCACTGAATTTTATTCTAACTTAACTTTTGTAAGCATTAGTGGTAGTTAATTATTTTCAAATTCATTGAGGCAACAGAAGGACACTTGGGATCTAAATTCTGGCTTACCAATATACTAATTAGGACCTCAGACAACTCAGTTCACCTCTCACATGACTGCCAACTCTGAAATCTCTGAAATGCAGACATTATCTGTTTTACAAACAGTTGTTATGAAAATAAGTGTTTATTCCCATTCTTCAAGGCTGTCATCTACCCTGTGCAAGGCAGTACCAGGTGGCGGTGCAGGAAGAAATGTGGAGCAGGTATGGACTGTAGCCCTAAGCGAGCTCAGAATTCCATGTGGGAATGAGCAGAACACATTTACCAGAGGCTATTGTTTATAGATAGAGATGTGAATAGTTCGCTAAAGACATGCTGGTTTCTCTTTCTGAAATGCACAATGCATGTTATAACCTGTCATGATTGTCACCCATGTGCAGGTGAGGTTCTTTTGAGCAGTACAGAAACTGCTTAACATTGAACTTGCACATGAGACACAATCGCAGCAAATAGCCCCAATACAGTGGCCAATATAACTGTGACTGAATATGATGAGGAGATCTGTCTTTGAAAGAATTCTTATGGAGCTGGTTTCACACAAAGTGCTTGGAAATGTGGAATTTTAGTGGACCTTGTTTGTCATCCCTTGCATTGGCTTTGGAAAGAGGGGCTGAACATCACATCTGACTGTGGCAGTTGGGGATGGAGGGGAATCTTGCTTCTATAGTGACACATTTGAGCCATGACCTACAT